TCCATCACATACAACCCGTACTTAAAATCTCTATACGCTAAGCTTGCCAGCAAACGTCAGCTACGTCTAGCTTTTAAGAGGTGTCCCACCATCTTCAACCTCTTACGTAATGGAAAGGACCCTCCTAACCCCATCAGACGCCCTGGAATCTATAGCATCCCAGTGAAGGACAACAGGTGCGATAGGAACCTGATTTATATAGGCTCCACTAAACGATCTCTGGGAGTCAGAATACAAGAGCATCTAGCCGATATTCGGCACGGAAGAACTTCCACGGCCCTCGCTACGTATGTAACTGATCCGGATATAGTAGCGAACTTCTCCCAGGCCATTCTCCTCCATGATTCGCCTCCTATCGAACACCTCAAATGGCTAGAGGCTATGCACATATTTATATCCTCCACCAACAACACGTGCATAAATTTTAAAGAGGAGATGCTGTTATCGATGGCCTGGCAGGAGTTAATTCACAACACGCTCTAATTCGCCCATCAAACTATGACGGGTAACCAATCGCGCATGCGCGACTTGGATTACGTGAATCCATTCGAACCTACAACTTAAATTTCAAGCTTTAAACGACATGAACGATCGAATTTCTACTTATAACGGACATCGAACGTCTTTAGAAGCTGATTAGAACCTGAAGCAGAACCCAGAAGGGGTTCGAAAACGTTTGTTTTCCGATCTTTTGCATGATCACACCGTAATTGGTTCAGGTGTGTCGATTTTTTGTAGTAGTTCCGGTGTGATAGATAGTGAATTTATTTGTATTTTCAGATGTTTTTTAAGTCTTAAAATTTTTTCAAAAATTTTTTCCCACGAAAAGAATTTAATTGCAATTTTAATTTACCTTTAATGACGCTTAATTGTTTTTTTTTATGGGATTTTTTATCAAATTTCATTCATTGTTCTAAAGTTCTAGTGCACGGATTTTACTTCAGTAAAGTTATTTAAAGCTATTTTCTGATATCAAAAACGACCTCAAATAGTTTTTTAATTTTTTTAATTAATAGATTTTATTATATATACGTTTAATTAAGTCGGGGTTGATCGAAAATTAAAATAAAAAAACGTAATTTTTGAAAAATATTTAAAAATATACGACCAGCTAGTATTTACCCTATTTTAAACCTGTCTCCTCCAATAAATTTTATGAGAATGTTCCACGAAAAACAATACCAGCTGTTCTCAAGGTCATCCAGCTGTAAACACAATTACCCATCGGCATCAGATTTCGCAGAAAGGCGAGACAATGGAAAATAAACTTTGAAGCTTTCTCTTCAAAATTAATGCATTTCTTTCATTTTTTTTTCCACTTTTTCCGGTGAAATCAAATGTGTGGTGGATGTACGTACAGTACATACCTGGTACAAAATATTCTTCAATTGTATGAATATACTTTTAAAGAAAATTATAATTAAATATAGCTTTGTAATGAAACGTACATAAAAATAACAAAATATTCTTTACTTTTTAAATCTTAAAACAATGCACTTAGTCAAATAGCTCCCTATGAGGGGCTAACAGATGGAATCAGAGTAGGTTGCAGTGCATGCATGCTTGCATGCATGCATGCATGAAGGCTGCCAAACACAAGGGTGCCGATACCAGTCAATGTCAAATGCCTCGTGTCGCATGTATACCTCAAAGGATGCAACAGGGTTGTTGTAAATTTTAAATGTTTCTTACCATAGCTGTAAAAATCTAAATATGTTAAACTTAATAGATTGTCCATCATTTGTTTTCTAACTAATTCGTTTTAAGACCATGTGTCCACGGAAATTTCCAAAATTTACTTTTCAGTCACTCTCATTGAACTGAGAAAAGTTCTGTTTTTATTACATCTAATATTACGAAGAAATCAGTCCCCACTGTACTCAGCTAAGGATTGGTTTGATTAAGCTTTTGTTTAAATAAAATTCTGGCTCTTTCAGAAAGCAGGGTTTTATTTATGTTCCTAATTCCCTAATCTCTTTATTATTTAACTACTTCTTAAGTAGAACTTTACTTTGTACTTGAATATTTGTAGTCTTGGGAAAAAAGTGAAAAGATAAATTTTTATGACAACACATATATAAATCATAAATTTAAGGAAAATAAATTCTAGAGCTTTTTTTGTACCTTATGCATCTCATTCATTAAATTTAGTTGTAAATGATGCTGCCAAAGTAACAGTTGATTTCTTAACATTGTACAAGAATTGTGCATGTTTTTTCTGCATCCCCTTATAGATGAGACATACTAAATCATAATATCACTAGTTTAACATTGAAATCGGCAAGTAATACAAAATGGATGAGCATAATAAAAGCAGAATAAATATATTTAATATTTTAATGGATTTTTTTAAAACTCCTGTCAACTATACAGAACTATCATAAAAACATACCAGTAAACTCCTATCAGTTGGGTTAAGTTATAAATCTACTCGCGATTCACATAATGGGGCGAGAGCGGTCAAGCATCTAGCATGCAGGTGGTTAACAGCCAATAATCAGTCCTGAATAGAATCATTTGAAGCATTATATAATATTTTGGCGTGTAGCATCCACCAGCTAAACCACAAGGTTGGTGCTCTGTAAAGTGCATACACTAATGCATATAATTTGGCTGCTTGGAAGCTGTCCCATATTTGACAATACAGCACTTCCATTCCACCACTGATATTCGAATATACAATAGCAATCTTATTGTTTTCTTCACATGTAGTATAGAAATTTGTAAGATACATAATGCAGTTATAATAAAATACTAATTTTAATTAATTCAAAGTACGTTAAAATATGAAAATAATCGCACAATATGTCTTTATATTTTAGAAAATACAAGGGAAGCGGCCCTTCCACTGCTTCCAAGGATGGCACGCCACTGATTTTTTTACTGATGATCAAACACAGCTGAGGGTCAAACTGTCAGACTTAAGCCCTAGTCAGTATATAGCTTGCTTGAATGATGGAAAACAGTGGATTGGTAACATCGTGGAATTTTATTCCAAGAAAGAGATGCATTTGATAATTTTTTTTATCCACATGGCCCTTGTAGGTCATTTTACTGGTTTACACAAAATGACACCTATTGAATCCTGAGCATTATAATTTTGTTGTAAAGCCATCTCCTACAAGAGCACTGGATAGCTGATACAACTACCCAGAATCGGAAAATAAAAACAGTACTGTCAAATTTTTATAAAATTTTTAATTCCATGATCTGGTCATTTTTTTGTACTTGCTTGGGAACCAAAAAGTAGCCCACTTTTTTGTTTAGAGTATAAAATAGTTTGGCATAAATCAGTTGATTTTACAATAGAAGGATAACATGCAAGTAATGTGGCTTTGTTCTTTGTCCTACAGAGAGTATAATGAGTGTGCACTATATTTATATGTATTAAGAACTTAAATTTCTGATAGTGTTGCTTCATAAAATATTTATGTACTGTATACAATATACTATGACTATGAAGTCAAGCATATTCTACCACAAATCAATTGTGTACATCAGTGTTTCTCAACCTCTAACGAATTGTCGCCCCCTTCAATGTAGTATCGCCCCTTCACTTCAAAATTCTGATGCCGAGGGCCAAGACTAATGCCAAATTTGTACTGCATTGAATAGCCTAGCAACTAGTATAATGTTATTTGTTTAATTATTGTATGATATAACGAATAAAATATCTAATTATTCTTAATATGATGTTTCACTATATCGCCCAGGAAATTGTTTTTCACCCCCCTAAAATATAAATTGTTACTAATTGCCCCCTCAACATGGAAAAACGCCCACATGGGGCGATATCGTCCCCATTGAGAAACACTGGTGTACATGCTTGTTTAAGGCTCTGAAACTTGGCATTTTTGAAACTTAAAATTTTTAGTGTTATTTAGATCTTTGTCTTTTATAATTAATCAATTAATTTGTTTATAGATAATTCTAATTCATTTTCAAATTTATTACATTCACCTTGATTTAATGGAAACCAGTTCACAGTAACGATTTTATATTCTTTAGTCAAATTAAATTTTTTAAATATTATAATTAAAGTAAACAATTCATATCAAAAGTAAATCAAATGTAAAACATTATTGATTATTTGATTATTTTTTAATTTTAATTAGTCTTGTTAATAAATTATTTTTACCTTTTCAGGCTGTTTCAAATGCTGATCTAAATTAAGAGCTAATCTATCCCACCAATAACCCCTATAATCTTGCCTATAAGTCTATATATGAAAAGAACAAAAATGTAAATAATTTTAAACAAAAAAATATTAATATTAAAAATAAAAATACTTTTTGAGTCAACAAATCTTCTAAAAGTATAACTGCTTCTTTATATTTTCGAAGTCTTTGAAGAATATCAACACCATGAGTTAAACATCGAATATATACATGACCAGGTGTAAAATTTCGCAAGAATGTCGGCAATTCAATATCTCTGAAAAATATTTGATTTACTAAATATTAATTCAAGAACATATGTTTTACAGAAAAAAATTAATTTTAATGACTTACTCTGATAAGAAATACAAAATTTTCATTTATAATATCAATATATTTTCTCAGCTGAATATGAAAATGGAATGAAGTTCTTACAATAACTAAGCAGTCATTTTAAAATATTCAAATAAATAATATATGTACTTCTAAAAATACTTCTAAATATAATTTAAAAACATTTTCTAAATTACTTTCCTGCTGTTAAACCACATCCAGACCAACTGCACAGCTTTGCTCTGTGTAGCAATGAGTGAATCAAAACAGAATAGAAATTCACAAATCTGAGCAGAACAGTGCAGAACTGAGCTAGGGGTATTTTGTAGATGAGAACACAGTTGAATATGGAGCATGAAACTGAAAATTTTAAATGCTACTTTCATAGTAATTTGTGAGATCTAGAATTAGGAGGGGAGTCATTTTTAAACAAATTAACAAAAGAGAGAGAGCAATTTAAATTTCAATAAAAATTAAATTTTCTAACTTTAATGAATTTATTTGAAAAACGGATGTCAAGTACTTTCGTTATAGAAAGGGAGTTGATTTCCTTTCCTTTGGCCGACTCGTGAGATGAGTAAAAAATGCGGCCTTTGCACATGTTACTGGGCCGTCTGAGGAGGCCGATATAAAAGGGATTTTTTTCTCGCCATTCGGGGCAGTTCATAGAAAGAGGTATTGCCATACTAATCACAGCAGTTCATCAGAGGTTCAATGAGACCTGAATTCGCCATACAAATTATAGAAGTTCATCGGAAGCAGTACTGACCATACAGTTGATAGCAGTGCACAATACGAATGAGCACCGTTTCTACCAGACAGAATTAACCATACGAAGTTCTATACATCCATAGAAGACCCTCCTCTCATACATGAAAATATTGAAGAGAAAAAAGAATTATTTAAGGTAGTATAACCTGTAGAAATATTGTAAACTCTCTCTCACATGCTAGATTTAAGATAAAAGGTTGAATTTTCCTACTCTTAAGATAAGTCTAGATATATATTATTTTGTAATCCATTTTTATTGTACATTCTTTTGATATTTTGTTCATTAAATATTTTCATTTTATTATTTTAATTGGCCTTTTTAATGATTAATATTCACACCTCTGCCTACTCAAAATACTCATGTCTCTCATACTCGCAATTTCGTGGTTACGCAAGTTAATTCGCATTAAAATAAGATTAACTGGTGTCAGCATCCTGACGTGAATCTGGATTTCACAATTTGGATCCATTTAAACACTCTTAAGGCCATCCACTGATTTAGAGATCGGATCTCTCGATCTGTGCCGATTAAGCGATATTCAGTATTAGTACCCTCTGCTAATCTCACAAATTTATCATCACTTGAAAGAAAAATTCCTAGAAAACATCATATAATTCCCTACTTTTCTGCCCTGGTGTAACCCAGGCAGAAAAGTAGAGAATTATATGGTGGAAATAATCTTTATGTAAATTAAACATAAATCCTGCTCACATTCAGTAGAAACTAAAAACATCGTCCAAATAGAATGCGTATGAACAAACCCTTTTCTTTGATGTACCAACACTTGCTTTGTTGTGTATGTCAGTGTTTGAAGGTGCATGATATAGTGCAGCTTGCCATCAGAACAGCCTGCACTACACTGCACCATGCTTCTTTGCTTAATTATTTGTCACAGATCAGCATGGTTGAACTTACCTATATATATATATGAGAGGAAAGTATGGTGATCAGTCAAAAATTGACCCCCAAGATTTTTACATTTTTTGGACTTGGGGGGCACCTCAAAATTTCAAGAAATGAAAAAGTTTAGGACTGTTTTGTATGGATAGTATGTATGTGTGTGTGATTTTGTTCATCCACTTTGAAGCTTAGTAACTCCTGTTTTTTTTTGCCAAAAATTTGGTAGTTAAAAGTCAAGGGGATGGGAAGATAGAGGGGAGGTGTCTTGTGTCATATCTTGAGTAGGGGGATGGCACGCCACTGATTTTTTTACTGATGATCAAACACAGCTGAGGGTCAAACTGTCAGACTTAAGCCCTAGTCAGTATATAGCTTGCTTGAATGATGGAAAACAGTGGATTGGTAACATCGTGGAATTTTATTCCAAGAAAGAGATGCATTTGATAATTTTTTTTATCCACATGGCCCTTGTAGGTCATTTTACTGGTTTACACAAAATGACACCTATTGAATCCTGAGCATTATAATTTTGTTGTAAAGCCATCTCCTACAAGAGCACTGGATAGCTGATACAACTACCCAGAATCGGAAAATAAAAACAGTACTGTCAAATTTTTATAAAATTTTTAATTCCATGATCTGGTCATTTTTTTGTACTTGCTTGGGAACCAAAAAGTAGCCCACTTTTTTGTTTAGAGTATAAAATAGTTTGGCATAAATCAGTTGATTTTACAATAGAAGGATAACATGCAAGTAATGTGGCTTTGTTCTTTGTCCTACAGAGAGTATAATGAGTGTGCACTATATTTATATGTATTAAGAACTTAAATTTCTGATAGTGTTGCTTCATAAAATATTTATGTACTGTATACAATATACTATGACTATGAAGTCAAGCATATTCTACACCTTAACGCTTATATCCAGAAAGTGTACTTCAGATGGGTGAGATTGCTCTATTTCCAGAGTCAACCCGAACGGGTTATTGTTGAAAGAATCGACAAATGTTGTTGTATCCGGCGTTGTTTTCCAGATAATGAAAATTTAAACAAAAATACATACAGAATTGTACTGTNTTATATGTATTAAGAACTTAAATTTCTGATAGTGTTGCTTCATAAAATATTTATGTACTGTATACAATATACTATGACTATGAAGTCAAGCATATTCTACCACAAATCAATTGTGTACATCAGTGTTTCTCAACCTCTAACGAATTGTCGCCCCCTTCAATGTAGTATCGCCCCTTCACTTCAAAATTCTGATGCCGAGGGCCAAGACTAATGCCAAATTTGTACTGCATTGAATAGCCTAGCAACTAGTATAATGTTATTTGTTTAATTATTGTATGATATAACGAATAAAATATCTAATTATTCTTAATATGATGTTTCACTATATCGCCCAGGAAATTGTTTTTCACCCCCCTAAAATATAAATTGTTACTAATTGCCCCCTCAACATGGAAAAACGCCCACATGGGGCGATATCGTCCCCATTGAGAAACACTGGTGTACATGCTTGTTTAAGGCTCTGAAACTTGGCATTTTTGAAACTTAAAATTTTTAGTGTTATTTAGATCTTTGTCTTTTATAATTAATCAATTAATTTGTTTATAGATAATTCTAATTCATTTTCAAATTTATTACATTCACCTTGATTTAATGGAAACCAGTTCACAGTAACGATTTTATATTCTTTAGTCAAATTAAATTTTTTAAATATTATAATTAAAGTAAACAATTCATATCAAAAGTAAATCAAATATAAAACATTATTGATTATTTGATTATTTTTTAATTTTAATTAGTCTTGTTAATAAATTATTTTTACCTTTTCAGGCTGTTTCAAATGCTGATCTAAATTAAGAGCTAATCTATCCCACCAATAACCCCTATAATCTTGCCTATAAGTCTATATATGAAAAGAACAAAAATGTAAATAATTTTAAACAAAAAAATATTAATATTAAAAATAAAAATACTTTTTGAGTCAACAAATCTTCTAAAAGTATAACTGCTTCTTTATATTTTCGAAGTCTTTGAAGAATATCAACACCATGAGTTAAACATCGAATATATACATGACCAGGTGTAAAATTTCGCAAGAATGTCGGCAATTCAATATCTCTGAAAAATATTTGATTTACTAAATATTAATTCAAGAACATATGTTTTACAGAAAAAAATTAATTTTAATGACTTACTCTGATAAGAAATACAAAATTTTCATTTATAATATCAATATATTTTCTCAGCTGAATATGAAAATGGAATGAAGTTCTTACAATAACTAAGCAGTCATTTTAAAATATTCAAATATTTTAAAATGACTGCTTAGTCATTTTAAAATTTCTTACAATAACTACAATAAAAGTTCTTACAATAACTAAGCAGTCATTTTAAAATATTCAAATATTTTAAAATATTTACTAATTGCCCCCTTTTAAAATATCAATATTAGTCATTTTAAAATATTCAAATATTTTAAAATGACTGCTTAGTCATTTTTATTGTACATTCTTTTGATATTTTATTCATTAATGTTTTATGTACTTCTAAAAATACTTCTAAATATAATTTAAAAACATTTTCTAAATTACTTTCCTGCTGTTAAACCACATCCAGACTGCACAGCTTTGCTCTGTGTAGCAATGAGTGAATCAAAACAGAATAGAAATTCACAAATCTGAGCAGAACAGTGCAGAACTGAGCTAGGGGTATTTTGTAGATGAGAACACAGTTGAATATGGAGCATGAAACTGAAAATTTTAAATGCTGCTTTCATAGTAATTTGTGAGATCTAGAATTAGGAGGGGAGTCATTTTTAAACAAATTAACAAAAGAGAGAGAGCAATTTAAATTTCAATAAAAATTAAATTTTCTAACTTTAATGAATTTATTTGAAAAACGGATGTCAAGTACTTTCGTTATAGAAAGGGAGTTGATTTCCTTTCCTTTGGCCGACTCGTGAGATGAGTAAAAAATGCGGCCTTTGCACATGTTACTGGGCCGTCTGAGGAGGCCGATATAAAAGGGATTTTTTTCTCGCCATTCGGGGCAGTTCATAGAAAGAGGTATTGCCATACTAATCACAGCAGTTCATCAGAGGTTCAATGAGACCTGAATTCGCCATACAAATTATAGAAGTTCATCGGAAGCAGTACTGACCATACAGTTGATAGCAGTGCACAATACGAATGAGCACCGTTTCTACCAGACAGAATTAACCATACGAACTTCTATACATCCATAGAAGACCCTCCTCTCATACATGAAAATATTGAAAAGAAAAAAGAATTATTTAAGGTAGTATAACCTGTAGAAATATTGTAAACTCTCTCTCACATGCTAGATTTAAGATAAAAGGTTGAATTTTCCTACTCTTAAGATAGGTCTAGATATATATTATTTTGTAATCCATTTTTATTGTACATTCTTTTGATATTTTGTTCATTAAATATTTTCATTTTATTATTTTAATTGGCCTTTTTAATGATTAATATTCACA